TGCATACCCCATCGCATAACTGAAAGATGAAAGAAATAAAAAATATTCTACGAAAAAACCTTATAATGCACCAACTCTGCGAATAATATTCGACGTTCGTATCTCGCAGAATAATCTTTTCGACTAATAGTCGCAGATTCATTCGCCTAACAAGAATAATTATTTAATGGGCGACGGACCGCGATTGACCGAATTGTACATCGAATTTCCGCATACTCGTCGCAGAACAGTCGCATACTTTAACTCATAATTTTCTCGCCCATGCTCATACCGGTCGTCTATCTATCGCATAGTTCATCGCATATGTCTTCGTACTTTTTGGGGTGAAAAACTTAGCTTTTTATTGGGTGAAAAACTTAGGAGGACTTCAAAACGGGGTGAAAATAGCTATTTTCTCAATACTTACAGTGCTTTTTACAAACCTACCGTACAACTTCCAAGAAGGTTTTCCATGAAGACTTGTACCTCCAACGCCAGACTTAATCCAAGACCAGGATGTTTGATTTTGGTTGAAGCTTCAGCAAAACTTTCGGAACTTTCAACTTTGCCAGTGTACCCCAGCCCAGTGAGATTACCATACTGCCCCCATGGAGAGGAGCTCATTTAAGTCGGCTTTCCCTTTGTTTAGTTTCCTAACAGCCTCAGTAGTGCGTTGCAACTCAGCTGAGTTCACACTTAGCTTGTTCTGCATACTTGCATGTTCATTCGTGATTCGGCTAATATCATTTCTGAGCTTCAAGATTTCCTTGTTTCTCTCAGTAAGAAGTTTTTTGAGTTGTGAACAGTTCAGACCTTAGACATTCAATGGTCTGTGACTTCTCTAATCAATCTTATTAAGAGAGTTTGACGCTACTGTCAAGAATGGAGGTACGAGCCATAGCCATATCCAGTTCATTCTCTTTCTGATATAAGCGAGAGGGGGAGGCCTGTTCAACCAATACCTGTTTGCCTTTGTTAGTTTCTGAACCTCACTTTGGAGTTTCTTCATAGCCTCAGATGCTTGTGCGCATTTCTCCATAGCTAACAAGTGAACTGGATAAATACTCATGTTGTAATTGGCTTCATCCTCTGATGTTTCAGATTCTTCCATGCTTTGTTCAAACTTCGTCGTGGCATGAGAGGTAGTGAGACACATAAACTTCTTTACAGAGGAATGAATTGACATGTTGCTCGTGTGTGATGAAGGTTCATCTGTGCCTTCGTCATCTGAATTTTCCCAAGTTACCTCCAGTGACTTACTCTTCTTTTTTAGATTAGCACACTCGTACTGAAAATGCCCAAATCCATGATACTCATGGCATTGGTCCTTCTCAATCCGTTGTGTGTCCGGTTTTGAAGGAAACACACTATTCTTCTTGTCTTGAGCCGTGTTCTTACTGGGATTATTGAACTTCTTTCCAGTGAACTTGTTCTTATATAGTTTCTGACTCATCTTGCCGTAGTTCCTTGCAATTAATGCAAGAGCCTCTTTCAACTCGCTGTCATCCACCATTGAACATTCATCTGCATCGCTGTCTTCTTTCTCTTCGACTACAGCAGCTTTGAAAGCAAGTCCCTTGTTTTTTACTTTGTCATAATTGTTGTTGATTTCAAACGTTCTCAGATCACCAAGACGTTCATCCACATCTAGAGGCTCAATTCTTTGAAAGCTTTCAAGAGCCGTAATCTTCTCTCTGAATCTAGGCGCAACAGTCCGCATAATCTTTTGCACTTGACGATTTTCAAAGATCTCTTCTCCTAGCATTCCACTTTGATTTACCAGATTACAAAATCTGGCATAGTACATATCGATCGTTTCTTCATCCTTCATTCTGATTTCATCAAATTCAAGGGTTACACGTTGAAGTCTAGATGCTTTGACTGCCGTTGAACCTTCAAACTGACGTTGTAGGATCCGCCAAGCATCTTTCGCTGTCTTGCATTGAACTATCATTTTGTGTCTAGTCTGATCGACTGCCATCATGATCGCGTACAGAGCTCGATAGTTCACTTCTTCTTGCAGTTTTTCAGCGTCAGTCCAGGTGTCTTTTGGTTTAGGTACAATGGCCGATGAAGATTCTTTCCCTTGGTCTGGAGCGGCCTCCATGACTGGATGTTCCCAGCCATTTTCAACACTTTCCCAAGCACCTTTCCCCAGAGATCTTAGAAAGATCGCCATCATTGATTTCCAGTTGGAATAATTTGATCCATCCAATTGCGCAAGCCTAGACATCGATCCACTTTCCTGATTCAAGATTGCCCAATCCACACGTCCTTAGATCTTTTGCAAAGTATACAAAAACTCACTCTAGTGCCAATTGAAATTTTGATACTTGTAACCCAAGTATTCAGAGTTATACACAATTAAGCTAAATAGAATTCAATGTAGATTCATACAAATTGCGGAAGCAGTATAAACAAACTTGAACCTTCAGGAGAGCGTCCCACTCTCCCTTCGGATCTCTTTCATTAATGCAATCAACTCACACATTCTTCAAGGGCTTACAATATAGACTCCCTCTACACTCTACTTGAACAACGAATTGCACTACTACTTATCCGACCACAAATCCCTTGTGGTTTTTCACGTTTGAATCCCTCAAACTGAAATAGAACGAATCTCCGTTCAATCTGTACATTTCTCTTTACAATTACTAATCTCACATACACAAATCACTCAACAAAACAAAAACCCGAAACCCTAAAAATTATCTCAACAAATTAATCTGTGTGAAAAAGTGTCTGCCTCGATCCTATCTCGTCGTCCTTTTATCCTTTTCTTCATATGGTAACTTCTTCATGAAACTTTGCTGCCAAGTCATGTCATCTTTTGAAAAGTCCAAGTTGTGCGATCGAATCTCCACACATGGAAGGTAGTCATAGATGGAATGCAATTCCCACTCCTTTTTTATTAGACCTGCCATAATAAAACATGTATAGGTATAAACCAATAAACGAAGTAATCAAAACTAATCCAAGTAATCTAAGAAAGACTTCCCTTAATTATCTTTGTGACGTCAGAACCTGATATCGGATAAAGCTTCGTCGATTTACTACCAATCTTCTGAACTTACACCTATGGACAAATTAGTCGTCGTGTTTACCGATGATGTCATTGTCTATTCTGGGAACACCATGGAGCATCTGAAGACGACACTAGAAACACTTAGACGAGAGAAACTTTATGCTAAGATCTCGAAGTGTGAAATATTGGGCAGTGAAGGTGGTTTGAGCTCGTTTAGGACTGCTGGTATGATTAGCTACATAGAAGAGCTATCGTGGCGGCCGACGCTCTTAGTCGGAAGGGTCGAGATGAGCTACCCGTTTGAGTACTCAGCAGGAGTTGCTCATTTGGGAGTATACTCGATTAGAGATCGAGATAGTGGGGTCGTCGTCTATAGCTAGTGGTGTTAGTATCACTAGTCGTGGGTTGACTCTACAAGGGAGGGTTGTACCAAGTAGCCAGAACGGACGATCAAGACACTTGATGACCTATTGAGGTCTTGTGTATTGGATCGAGATGACGTGTGGGAAGACACATTACTGTTGAAGAGTTCGTAACAGTATTCATCGGGTGACGTTTCAGTTGGCGACGTACAAGGCTTTGTACGGGTGCAGTTGTAATCGTCATTCTTTGTGGAATGAGATCCGAGCGAAGATCATTACTACCTAGGACTAGGAGGAGACCTACGCCGAGCAGCGTAGGAAAGATCTGCAGTTCGAGGTAAGCGTTAAGGTTTTCTGAATATCTCACCGGAGAGAGGTGTGATCCAATTCAGGAAAAGAGAGAAGTTGCAGCCGCACTGTTGATCCCGTTGAGATTTTATACTAAATCGGCGACCTAGCCTAATGGTTGGCCGGACCACTGTAGCTATCGGGTGTGCATATTATGCTGCATTGTTGTGCCTATGAGACGGTTGCACTGTGCTAAGTCGCGTCTGAGATGGTTGCATGATCTGCACTGAGATTAATTGCGCCTATGAGATGGCTGCATTGAGACGAGTTGCGCCTATTAGATGGCTGCATGACCAGATTTTTGTGTTGCATTTCTCGATGTGAGCAAATATATGTGCACGACCCCAGGCACGTGGTGAACTTCGACGAGTTTCATGTTGGGGATAACCCTACCTAAGAGAAGGTATCGGTAGTTGTTTTGGACCAGAGAGTCCACCATCTGAGAAACCGGTAGGTGACACTCATCAAGTCTAGTAGAGCCGCCATGGCGAGGGTGATGCAACTTGGGAGAGCGAGGACGAGATTCGGACGGCGTATCTGGACTGTGTGATTGAGTTGTCCTTTGTATCTTTGTTTTTATTTCTGAGGACGGAAATCTTTTAAGGAGGATAGATTGTAGTGCCTCGTTCAATTATTAGGAGTCAGTTGATTATTATATGCCTGTGTGAATTTATTTTGGTTTGTGCATTATTTTGATTGTTCAATTAACTTGGCTAAACTTGTAATTTCAGCAAGATTAATTAGATGTCATCGCCTAATTAATCATCTGAGTTAAATAATTTTCGTCGATGTCTTCCTATACGTGAATTATTTTGAATTTTTATTATTTTCGATTGTTGGCGAAAAATCGAGTTCAAATGCGATCTTATCGTAAGCTGTTTTACCTTGATCATTGAGACTTATCAATTTCAACCCTTTTATTTCTTAAAATCGGACCTCCAAGACAATTATATCTCGACCTTTTTATTGTGAGAGGTCCGGCCCTATTAGCTCCTCAAACCTTCCCTTTGTTTATTAAAGCGTCCCAATTGTAGTGAAATTTTCGACCATTGGACTTGTGTAGCTTTGGCTCCAAGTTTTGTTTGAAATTCAAACTCAAGAGTGCCTAAATTTAGTATGGATTTTTCAGCCATTCATGACCTCATTGGACCGATTTTTTTGAGATTAGTGTGTCAATTATGTCATTCAAAAAATGGTATGAAAAATCAATTTACTTCCCTTTCATTTCTCGCTTAAGAAATCGTAACTTATTTTCTTGGCACCTTACGTTTTCAACCTAAAGAAAATCAGATCTGGAATACTTCAATAGCCGAGCAGATCAGAAAACCCCTCAACCTTTCGGCTTCTTTCTCGCAAGTTTTAACATCAGCGTACCGCAAGCCCACAGCCCGCCGCGAACAGCCCCAGGCCCAGAGCTGAGTGCGCAGCAGTGAGAAGACGACCCACCCGCAGCAGATCATTGTGAGCACTGAGCTTCGCCGTGAGTCGCGAGCACATCACTGGAGGCCAACTCGAGTTTCTGTTAGACGACCAGCCGCGTGAGGATAAAATGATGTGAGTGAATGAATAATGAGATAAAGTTGGCGTGAGGATGATGATTGATATTATTTAATTTTATTTATTATGTTGATGTTGACGATAATTGAGTTGGATTAAATTTTTAAATTTGTATCCCTGGTAAATCTATGCGTAGCTACTTACACTAAGAGCATCTTTAATAGGCAGGTTTTGGAAGGTTTACAAATCAAACCTCAAATGTTTGTTATTAAATCCAATAGGTTTTAGGTTTGAATATTTGAACCCGTATTGCATTTCCAAACCTTTTGCAAACCTATAACATAAAAACAGAAGCAAAAGAAAAAGAAAAAAAAGTAGTGTGCGTATGCAATAAAACTTCCTATATATATATATATATTGAAAGAGGTTGATAGAATCATCTAAAATAGTAACTTGGACTTTGTAATTAAGTAGGTTGACTTATATTAGAGGAAATATAGTAAAAACTAAATTTATATTCATAAAATATTAAAAATTAAATTACACCTACCTGTTGCAAAACGTGCAATCCGATTAATATTAAGACTTGTAGAAGTCTTTGAGTGATGTACTTTAGATAGGATTACCGGTTTCCGGTCTAGGGTTTCTTCCGTTAGGAGTTCTTCCGGCTATTACCGGTTTCCGGTCTCTTTCTTCTGCATTCTCTCCTAGCTATTTCTCTTTGCCTTTTATCTTATCTCTTCTCTTTCCTTCCGCCATCCAGTTTTCTCTTTCCCTCTTTCATCTCCTCTCCTCTCTGATTTCTTTTTCTTTCTAGGCCACAATGCAAGACGACCTTACTGATCGGCTTAACAAGTTTTCTCTTTCTCAACAAGAAGAAAACATTATTGATCTTGAGTCTACAGATATCAAACTCAGTGATGATGAGTGTAGAAGGAGTCTATTCGGTAAAGTATTTGGTGACAGAAAAGCCCATATGTTCGGCCTCAAAAGAACAATGTCTCATATCTGGCAACTTAAACACCCACTTACAGTTCGAGAATTAGAACCAAATTTCTTCCAATTCCTCTTTGATTCAGAAGCTGAAAAGAAAAGGGTTGCCTCAGGGAAGAACTGGTCCTTTGAAAACCAATACATCATCTTGAAGGAGTGGCAAGATGACCTCACAGCAGCTCATCCCTGTTTTCAAGAAATGGATTTCTGGGTTCATGTAGGCAACATTCCCCTGAATTGGCTTTGTACGGAAGTCGGACTCAAAATTGGAAAAGCATTCAAAATGGTGAAAAATGCAACCATCTGTACAGGTACTGGAAACTGTGGTAGATATCTGCGTTTGCTAGTTTCAGTCAACCTTAAAGAGCCATTATTGCGATGCTCTTCTATCAAATTGGGGGATAAAGTTCGCAGGATAGAATTCAAATATGAAAAACTCATCAACTTATGTTACTACTGCGGAAGGATTGGCCATATGGATAGAGGATGTACTTTCAAAGAAGAGGATATCATAAATGGTAACTTGTTTGAAGGTCAATTTGGAGACTGGTTGAAAGCATCTGATGGAGTTTACTCCCCTCGTTCCCACACCCCTTCAGACCCAACCTCTCAATCCAAAGATAACCATAATTCCCACACTGTTCATGGGACTTCAACCTCTAAAGATACTCTAGAAGTCGGTACCAGTAACTCCCCTGTTCAATCAACCAGGCCAGTAGAATCCTCTTCTAAAGCCTTATTACCATGCCCCTCTCATTCTCTTCAGCTAATACCCCAACCAGACAAAACCAAAGCCTCAAGCAAATCTATAATCCTTGACTTCCAAAACCCAAACACAGTTTCTAATGAACAACCCATGGACTTCTCACTCTCCACACCTCCACTTGCTATAACCTCTCTCCCCAACCCAGTAACCCACCAACCCAGGAAAAAATGGACAAGACGACAAGCAAGATTAGCTGAATCCAGTTCCTCAATTCCCAATCCAGCACCCCCTGCTTCTCACACCAGTGGAAAAAGAACCAGAAATGAACCCTCTGATCTTCCTGATATATCCAAGGGCTCTGATCTTAAAAATGCTGGAACTTCTAAGGGCCCCGACTCTAAAGCCAAACTTACCAAGAAACAGAAGGTTACTGCTCAACTAGAAGAAGAAAATCAACAGGTTACAGCTCAGGTGGAGGAATCCAGCCTCAAGTGGCCCCAAGGTGATCAATGACAGCCATGGTGTGGAACTGTAGAGGTCTGGGTGGGCCCTCTACAGTTCCCCAGATAAAGGAATCTTGGAGATTCCACCATCCAAATTTTGCTTTCCTTTGTGAAACCAGAAAATCCAAAAAATTTGTAAATACTGTTTGCAGAAACTTGGGTGTTGATGACAGATGGGTAGCTTCTGATCCAATTGACAAAAGTGGAGGATTGCTCCTTTTCTGGAATTTGGGAGTTGAAGTCCTTCAAACCATCTGCCATCCTTTTTGTATTGAAGTCGAATATAAACTTAACAGCCTTCAAGATTCTGCTTGGTTCATTTTTGTCTATCTTAGTCCTTGTAAGAGAACCAGATCAGAGCAATGGCAGTTCCTACTACAGTCTAAAAATGAATGGGGTCCTAATTGGGTAATAGCTGGTGACTGGAATGATATTCTTTGCACTGAAGAAAAGAAGGGAGGCAGATGGAGGTCTGAAAATAGTTTCTGGGGTTTTAGAGCTTGCATTGCAGACTTGGGTGGACAAGAAATCTCCATGGAAGGTCACCCCTTCACTTGGGGGAATAACAGAATGGGAGAAGGCTTCATAGAAGAAAAACTAGACAGAATGGTGGCTTTCTTGTACTGGCATGCTCAACACCCCACAGCAAAGGTTCTCAACACCTTTAAGAGTGCCTCAGATCACAGTCTCTTGTTCCTACAAACTGCTACTCCTCAAAATCACAAGAAAAAGACTTTCTGCTTTGATAAAAGATGGATAAAAAAACAAGGCATCAGAGAAGAAATCCAAAAGGCATGGGACCAACCAGTTACAGGCTCGCCATGTTCTCCCTATCTGAAAAAATCAAATCCACAAGAGTGGCTCTTCTTAAATGGAGTAGGACTTTCCAAACAAACTCTGCAGTGACTATTGCCCAACTTACATCTGAAATGGCAAATATGAGAGAGCAAGGTGGTGATAGAGATTGGAACAAATGGGCACAACTTAAGCACAAACTTGATGAAGCATACAAGGAAGAGGAATCCTTCTGGAAGCAAAAGTCAAGGGTATGTTGGCTCAAAGAAGGAGACAAAAACACTCGATTCTTTCATGCTTATGTACTTCAAAAGAGAAAGCTGAACTCCATTGTCAAACTCATTGATGCTGACAACTCCATTTGTGACACCAGAGAATCAATCACAGGCTGCATCTCAGACTATTACAATAACTTGTTCACTTCAGAAGGATCTGTTGATATGGGAAACCTTCTCAGCTATATTCCAGCCTCCATCTCTCAGGATCAAAATGAATCTCTCTCTGCCCCAGTTACTGAAGATGAAATCCAGAATGCTCTCTTCAGCATGAAACCTGACACAGCTCCTGGCTGGGATGGTATGCCTCCTTCCTTCTTCCAATCCTTTTGGAGTATTGTTAAAAATGACTTATGCAAAGCTGTCCTGTCTTTCTTTACCTCTAACCACTTGCTCAAAAACTGGAACCTTCCTTTAATCTCTCTCATTCCTAAATGCCAGTCTCCTATCTCTGTTGGAGACTACAGACCTATAAGCTTGTGTGAGGTGATTTACAAAGTTATTTCTAAAATTATTGCTGAAAGACTCAAACCATGTCTCCCCTCTTGCATTAGTAACACTCAATCAGCCTTCATCCCTGATAGACAACTCCTTGATAATGTGATCATAGCACATGAAGCCTTTCATTTCCTCAGTAGACACAGAACAGGTACTAAAAGATACATGGCCCTTAAGCTAGACATGTCCAAAGCTTTTGACCGCATTGAATGGGCCTGTATCCAATGTATTATGGACAGAATGGGTTTTGACAGAACCTTTGTAACCTGGGTCATGGCATGTGTGCAGTCCACCACTTTCTCTTTCAAACTTAATGGACTTCCTGCTGGTTATATAACACCTTCTCGAGGAATAAGGCATGGGGACCCTATATCCCCTTACTTGTTCCTCTTAGTTTCTGAGAGCTTATCTTGTTTAATTCAGCATGAACTTGCTACTGGCTCTTACAAAGGTCTGAAAATTTCAAGGCAAGGGCCCACTCTCAGCCACCTCTTCTTTGCTGATGATTCATTGCTGTTTTGCCATGCTACTCTTGAGTCTACTAACCTCATTCTATCAATGTTGGAGAAATATAAATGCTTCACAGGGCAGCAAGTTAATCTATTGAAATCTGCAGTGTTCTTTAGCAAAAACACACCTACTGCCACTCAAACTGCCATCTGCCATACTCTCCAAGGTATCTCTCTACACCAATCTTCTAGATATCTGGGGTTGCCACTTGGGATAGGCAGATCCAAAGGAGAAGCATTCAGCTATGTGACTGAAGCTGTCAAGAAAAGACTGCTCAGTTGGAAAAACAAATTCCTCTCAGGGGCAGGCAAAGAAGTCCTCATCAACTCAATTCTGAGTGCACTCCCAGTCTTCACTATGTCATGCTTCCTACTGCCTTTGGGTATCTGTCAAGAACTTTCCAAACTTTTTGCCAACTTCTGGTGGTCAACTCAGAGTTCTAACAGAAATGGTATTCACTGGAAAGCCTGGGCTTTTCTTTCTCTCCCAAAAGCTGCAGGAGGACTCAACTTTCATGATCTTCATGTCTTCAATGAAGCACTCATCTTGAAGCAAGTTTGGAGAATGATCACAAAACCTGACATTCTTATGAGCAAAGTTCTCAAGAGTAGATATTTCCCTCTGGTGACTTTTTCAGTGCAAAACCCAATCAAAATGCTTCCTGGTTATGGAGAAATTGGCTCAAAGTCCAGAAAACCTTCTTGCAGGGCTTTATGATGCAAGTTCACAGTGGTAGGCAAACCAGAAACTGGGATCACCCTTGGGTTCCAACCCTCTCAACTCACAAACTGTTAACCAAAACACCCTCTTCCCCTAACCTTGTTTGGGTTTCTGATCTCATTGCAGAAGATGGTATTTCTTGGGATAGAGAACTCATTTGCAGCTCCTTTTCTCAATCTGAAAGTGATGCAATCTTGCAGATCAAAAATTTGAACAGACACTTGCCTGATAAGCCAACCTGGTCCTTTGATGCAAAGAAAAATTTCTCTGTGGCTGCTACCTATTCACAACTTATTGCAGACAAAATCCTGAAGCTTGACATACCTGGAAACAGCTCCAATGCTGGTAGCTTAAGGAAAATGAGGAGCAGGAGCTGGAAGCTAAATATCAAGGGCAAAGTCAAACATTTCCTCTGGAAATGCTTCAGTGGAGTACTTCCTGTTGCTGTCAATCTCAAAAGAAGAGGCCTTGAATTAGACACTACCTGCATGCTCTGTGGGGAACTTCCTGAAACAATTGAACACCTCCTTTTCCAATGTCCAAGAGCAATCACAGTTTGGAAGCTATCTCATGTGCACTGGGGCAACCTATCATACAGTGATGGTCTCTTCAAACACTAGTGGACTGACATCTGCTTATTAAAAAAGGACAAGGCAGTGGATGAAAGGATCCAGCTATCTACATACATTCTGTGGCAACTATGGAAAACTCGCAACCTGTGGGTGTTTCAGAAAGTCCAAACCCCGGAGAAGATCATTGTGGAGATGGCTGTTAAAGAATGGCTGGAGTACTGCTCTTCTCTCCTTCCTCATTAGGCTTGCTGCTGGTTTCCTTTTTTCTGTCTCCTTTCTGTTTTCTGTTTTCCTAGCTAGGCCTCGGCAGTGGCTAGTTTATTTGTCTTGTTGTTGTTTTGTCTGTTTGATGTTGTTGTAGTGTGCTGCTGTAGTTTATTGTTGTCTTATGTTTTTTAGTTGTAGTGTGTTTCTGTGTTTAGTGTAGGGAGCTTCGGTTGCTGGTTGCTGTAATCAAGTCGCAGGTTTCCGCATTTGTTAGCGGCTGCTACTTGTTTAGTATTGATCTTGTTGTTTTCTGTTTTCTAGGTGGCTTCTAGCTTGCCTCTGATCCTTATGGATTGTGGTCAGAAATGATCCCGTGTATGAACTATATTTATTTATGAGATATTCTATTATCGTTTCGAAAAAAAAAAAAAAGATTAATATTAAGACTTCTATAAAAATAAAGTTGTATCAATTCTGAAAATTATTTAGTGATAATTATCACAGTAAAAGTCGATTCTTCATATTAATATGAATCACTACAATTTCTTATTCTCTTGTTAACCAACCATACAACATTTCTTTCAAAAAACGTCTATTAAATAAATTTTATTTTTAGAAAATATTATTTGAATATGCACGATAAAATTACAAATATAATCACAAAATAAAGAGTGATCAACTACGGAAATCTTATTATGATATTTGTCACAATTTACAATTGAAGCTTATTTATCAACATTAATAACAAATCACGGTGATTTCATATTCATTTGGTAACCAACCATATACCAAAATATTTTTTATCGTATCTTCAAAAAATCCTTTAATCGAGAGATTACTTTAGAGTTCTTTAATTTATCAATAACTTAACCATTGCAGTTTTTCAAAAATTATAAACACAATTTTTCAGACATTTCAAAAGAAATTTAACTATCTATATCTATATAAAAAGGTTGTTGGTAAAATCATTTTTAGTAACTTTTGACTAAATAAATAAATCATTTGACTTACTATTAAAGGCAATATTTTAAAAATTAATTTATTTCTTTTGAAAAAAAAAATAATGCTACATTCACGGATTTAAATCTCAAACTTACCGGATACATGGCCTAAAAGAGTGTACTTAACTAATAAGAAAAAAAGTGATTTTATTGTAGGCAAGGTAATTNTCGCATACGTATACATATATATATATATATATATATATATATATATATATATGCAATCTTTTGGAAATTAGCAACATATACATATACTGTAATTGTCAAATTATTTCACTTTTTTTTCCTTTTGTTGTTTATGTCTTTAATAGTTCAAATTTGCACATATTTTGATTTATTTAATCTAATTTTATCACAATAAAAAATTAATTCTTCATATTAATTACGAATCACTATAATTTTTTTATTCTTTTGGCAATCAACTATACAACATGTCTTAAAAAAATGTCTATTAAATATATTTCGTTTCTAGAACATATTATTTGAATATGCACGATAAGGTTTCAAATATAATTACAAAATAAAAATTGAAAATCAATTATGAAAAAAATATTGTGATACTTATCACAATGTTACAATTAAATCTTATTTATCAACATTAATAAAAAATTATTGTGATTTCTTATTCATTTGATAAACAAGCATATACCAACATATTTTTTATCGTACCTTGAAAAAATTATTTAATCGAGAGGATTAGTTTAAAATCTATTGACTTATCAATAACACAACCTTTACAGTTTTCAAAAATTATAAACTCAGTTTTCTAAAATATCAAAAATAAAAATAAAAATAACTATTTATCTTTAATAACAAGCCAATCTTTATCCTTAACAACAAATCATATGTTTTCCTATTTTGTTGGGAATCCACTATCCAGCCATATTTAGATCGATATATGCATGAGAACATTACAAAATATAAGTATAAGTATAAAATAAATTTAGAAATCAATTGCAAAAATCTTATTAATATAAATACAACAATACTATAATAGAATTGATATTAATAACAAATCCCTACGATTTTCTATTTATTTCGTAACGAGCCATAAACCAAAAATCACCTATTAAAGGAGTTCAGAAATATCCTTTGATTTTATCAATAACTGCACCAACCCATTTTTTTTAAATCATATTGGGATTCACAATTTCATAACAAATCTCATAGAAATTAATAAATTAGAAAAAAAAATTAAATATTTATCATATTATAAATTATAAGAATAAAATATAATAATATTGATGTAACTAATGATTAATAATTTTGTTAACTTCCAAAATAATATTTATTTCAATCTTTTTCAATTAAGAATTGGTTATAATATTTGCTACAATTTTTCAACTTTAGCAGGCGTTATTTAGAAATCGAAATACTATACTGTAAGATGGTATGGGTAAGAGAAGATAGATAAAGAAGTATTATGTGAGTAGTATTTATTGATAATATTTGAATATGTTAAATTTTCATTATCCTTAATTATAAACAGGATTTAAAATGACAACTATTTTATAACGAGTGAAATAAACATATAAATAAAATATTAAATTATTATATATCATAAAATCAAATAAAAAGTAATTATTAATATTCAAAATTATTTTTATACAAATCAATATTACTTCATTGCATTAAAACATTCAATTATAATTATTATCCCGTGCATCGCATGGGCTACATACTAGTTTACTTTAATAACAACCAATCTTTATCTTTAATAACAAATCATGCATTCTTCTATTTGTTGGGTGGATAGCCATATGTAGACCGAAATATGCATTGAGAACATTGCAAAATATAAGTACAAAATAAATTTAGAAATTAATTCCAAAATTCTTATTGATATAACTATCAAATGCTATAATAGAATTGATATCTCAAGGAGTTCAAAACTATCCTTTGATTTTATCAATAACTGCACCAAACTAATTTTTTGAAAATTCATATTGCGATTCACAATATCATAGCAAATATCATACGAATTAATAGATTAGAAAGAACAATTAAAATATTTATAATATTATAAATCATAATAAAAATAAAATAATATGATGTAATTAAAAATCAATAATATTTTTTAACTTCAAAATAATATATATTAAAATATTTTCAATTAAGTGTTCGTTATAATATTTGCCACAATTTTTTAACTTTAGCTTAACTTATTTAGAAATCAAAATAATATAATGTAACAAGGTATGCGTAAGAGGAGAGAGAGAGAGAGAGAGAGAGAGAGAGAGAGAGAGAAGTACTATGTGAATATTATTAATTGATAATATTTGAATATGTTAAATTTTCATTATCCTTATAAACATGGTATAAAATGACAACTATTTTATAACGAGTGAATAAATATAAATAATATATTAAATTATTATATATCATAAAAGAAAAGAAAATTAATTAGTAATATTAAAATTTATTATTATACTAATCAATATTTCTTCATTGCTTTATACATGCAGTTATAATTATTGTCTCGTGCATCGCATGCACTACGTACTAGTTTTAAAAGGATGTAGCGTGCACGTGGGAGAGTGGGTTGCCATAGAGGGACATGTGAGAAGGACTCACACATATAAAAACTGTCTCCCCATTTTTTTTTTTTACTTTTCACTTTGTTTTCCTTTTTTAATTTAGGATTTGAATATTAGATTCATGTGCATACACCACACCATTTTGGCAGGCACTGAATCAGTAATAATACGATATTCTTTAATTCTAAATTTATTTTAATTTATAATTTAATTATAAATTAATGAATATAAATATATATAATTTTTTATTTTTTTATATGTATTTATGATAAATATATGAAACATTTAGATTGAATACAAAAATGTAGTTATAGTTTTGAAATATTAATAAAAATTTAAGAGTATAATCTATATCTTTACCTATATCTATATCTATATCTATATAATAGACCAATCCATATTGCATAATTGGTATACTTTTAGGCGGAAAAGATTTTTCGTCTATATTTGGCATTTCTTTAATCTTTATTTATTAGCAAATCTTATGTACGAAAAAAATAATTAATTTTTGTATACTCAATGGCTAATATTTATTAACTATAAATTGACTTAAATAGAATTATTTAACCGTAGATTGATTAGATATATTTTCAATAAGATCTTATATTAATTTCCCGGTAATTTATTGACACAATCAAAAAATATTATAAAGATTGATTTAGTTAAATATATTATCATTTATGGTTATAGGTTTTAATTTAATTAATTATATTCACCATTCAGAAGTACTTAAAATATTTAATAAAATAATCTAAATAACTTAAAATATTTAGTAAAATAATCAAAATAGCTCAAAATATTGAATAAAATAATCAGAATAATTATGTTTGAATCATAATAACTTAATGAATAATTTAAACTATTAATAAAAGTTTCAAAACGTAGTCAACTTAATCATAAAAAGGTACATCTCCATTGATTATATCATTTTTAATGATACTATTGAACATTCAAATAATACATTAATATTAGTAAAATTAAAATTTAATGGCCGGGTACAATCCAGAATTATAAAATTCACCTTAGAAATTATGTACATTAAATAACTATTCAAGTTTTAAAATATATTATTTCTATTATATATTATTGTATAAATAAAATAAGTCAAAAAAATAGTCATGTATAATATTTAAATTATAGCACATGAATATAAATATATATCTAAATATTCGAATAGATACTAATTAACTCATTATATAATTTCATACCCCGTACATCGCTCGGGTATTAACACTAGTATTAATTAAAAGTAANATGTTCTACGAGGTTTATTCTTATCTATCATTATATAAAAAGAATAACCTTTTTATAAATTTAGAAACTTTTTTCCCGCCAAAATTATTAAATATATCCGAAATATGGTAATTATTGGATAATTGTGAATAGGCACAAAAACCGGCTCTTTAATTGCATTGTTTTCTTAATTCCAACTTGCAACAATAAATCCGATTGGCTTTTGGTTTAAACTTTCCCATAAAAATCTCATATCATAAATGTACACGAGTTTATCTTTTATTTGTTATATTGCATACGTTTTTTAAAAATCTCATCTCTTATCTATAAAGATTTTAAAAAATAAAATAAAATAAAAATCAATTCATAATTACTACTAGAAATCCATTATCTACTTTAAAAGGCTAATTTTCATCGGTCTAAATACTAATATTTTTACAAATATTCGAGTTTATCTCTTATTTGTTATATTGCATACGTCTCACGATTTTAAAAAATCTAACCTCTTATCTATAAAGATTTTAAAAAATAAAATAAAATAAAAACAAATTCATAATTACTACTAGAAATCCATTATCTACTTTAAAAGGCTAATTTTCATCGGTCTAATTACTAATATTTTTATAAATATTATAAGCTAACAATACATCCTCGATAACAACGTAAAAAAATATAATAACAATAGTGTGTAATCAAATATCTTTTTAGAAGTAACGTCATAAATTCGGTATTATCTGACATAATGTCTTTATTAAATTATGCTCATAATATTTTAGATACTTTAAACGAATGGTTTAAATATTTTTTTACATATTCGTCTATATATACATATACACATACATAATTGATGTTAAGTTTAAATATTTGTAGACATGTTTTCCTTACAAAATAGTCTAGAAAAATCTTTTTTACGTCATGTAAAATTTAAATGATTTTAGATATGTTCCTTCTAATAGAAGAATTGTAGGCGACTTCACATCTTTCAAAATTAATATAGAAAATTTTGATTACTCTTACAAATACTAATATAATATTTTAGGTGTTTTTAATATTAAACATACAAATTTTATATTCTCTTATACAAAATAATGTAAATTTTATATTCTCTTATACAAAATAATTTTACATTGTTTGACCCTGAATCTTTAATTTATAATTATTAAGTATTGTTTATCCTCCTCTTTAATTTATAATTATTTTTTTTCTTCTTATTTTTAAATAAGATCAATGGTAGTTTTCACTTCCGCTATTAAGTGACTCAAACTCGAGTCTATTTATAATATTGTTAATTTAATATTGTTCCCGTGCATCGCACGGGATACACAAGTTTAAGGTTTATAGGTGAAATAGTAAGAATGAGGTTTTGTCTGATAAGGGAGGTTTATGGAGTTTTATCATATAAGCCAAAACAGAGCCAACTAACGAGGGTAAATTAATCATTTCACATCTGAAATTAGCTAACCCCTCTTCTATCCGGAAAAAAAAAACCGAGGAATTTGTTTCAAGCTACTTTCTCCGCCATGGATAAAACTTCTCAAGACTTGGAGGTCTACACCATCCCCAGCTACTCCAGTAAGTCCGACTACCTCGATGAAGGATATATTATATGCTCATAAAATGTATCTATCTTCGCATGAGTTTATTTTCCCTAAATCCTGATCTCGTTTCCTAATTTTTTGTTTTCCTGTCTAATTTCTCGACAAAAGGTTGGTTCGCATGGAATAACATTCACGAAGTGGAAAGATTTTCACTGAGAGAGTTTTTCGACGGGAGCACGGTGACCAGGTCACCCAGAATATACAAGGAGTACAGAGATTTCATCATTTCCAAATACAGGGAGGACCCTTCCAGAAAACTGACCTTCACCGAGGTCCGGAAGTCACTCGTGGGTGACGTCAGCATCCTTCTTAAGGTGTTCACTTTTCTGGAGAAATGGGGCCTCATTAACTTCAACGCTGCTGATAATAACAATGAGAAAACTGAGCGTGATGAGGAAGATGAGAAGTGGAAGGGTAGAGTGAAGGAGGAAGAAGGAGCCCCTCATGGGGTGAGAGTAGTGGCGGCACCAAATACGGTAAAACCAGTCTTGCCGCCACCTCAGCCACCGTCTGTGGCGGTGGACGGTGGTGGGTTTGTTGGGGAATTAGGGGAAAATGGCTTCAAATGGCCGCCATTGGCTTCGTATTCCGACATCTATGGGGAGTTGATTGGGCCGCAGAAGGAGGGTTTGGTGTGTGGAAGTTGCAAAGATGACTGCGATTCGGCACACTATGAATACGCAAAGGTTTTCTACTTTTTATGTTGTGATTTTTGTCATTTGATGTTTGGTCCTTTTTTGTGTGAATGGTTTTTTGTTTAATTTAATTTGGATCATGCAATTTAAAAAGCGACGGATGCATAGTTTATGGGGAACATGTCTTGGTACAAATGGTTATTATTGATAATTACACAATAATTTCATTTATGTTTGTTTCAATGTTGCATATAGGACTTTATATTGCTCATTGGCTTTTGTGAGGACGTAATGTGTTTGTGCTTGAACGTTTCTATACAGAGTATGAAGAAAACAAACATCACATGAACCTAGCAATGAGAACTCGTGAAATAGGGCTAGTGTACTAGGGTTTCATGATGTTTATGATATTTAAGGTATGCTTTTCATTAAGATTAAATTACATCACCCAGTGGTATACATTGGACTCTACTTTTCAATAATATAATCAGGAAAACCTCGGGGGAAAGCATTTTCTACTGCATCAGTTGATCAATTAATATTTTGGTAATTTTATAAAAGTTTTTGAACCAGTTGACGTCTTATGTTGTTGAGATCACCTATATATCACTACATTGTGCAATTGATTCTCGTCTACCTGTGTAAGATGCTGCATGTATGATAATAACACCTCAGCCATGAGGAACAAATGGCAAAGTAAATGAAGTTATTTCCTAATTTCAAGATAGTGTCACTGTTTTGGCTCCAGTGCCACTTGGGATAAATGGCGTGGTAGTACTGATTATTGATTAACCATGCTGATTGATTACTACCTAGAGAATGTGGGAAAGTCTCTGCTTGCTTTGTCATGACATGTGACAAACTAGAGCAAAGAGTTCTGGCCTTGAGGCTCGAGTGGAATTAACATTTAGAATAGGACTTCAGAGTGTATGCCTATAGTTGGACTTTGGAGTGGGGTCGTAAAATTGGACTTTGGGATTTTATTTGGTTGATGAGAAACAGCGGGGATTAACCATATAAGTATGCATTACGATAGTAAGCTATTCCAGCTCTACTCTTACTAAATTCTGAGAAGTAATGTTACACCTAAAGCTACGGTTTGTTACCATCCCTCATTATGTTTGAAATAAGTACTCTCCTACTTGCCTCATACTAAGTACAACTATTCTTTTCGTTTGGGCTTTGTATCATATCTATCAACCAACTGTCTTTTATTTAGTACAAATCTTCACTCGTCACTCTTACTCCTATGTTGAATAGGATTTTTTTGTTATTCCTTCAAATCTTTTTATGCTAACATCTTGAAATGGGCGTATCCATTGTCATTTTGTAATCTGGATTCTGGAAGGGCCTAGATTTTATTTGATGCACGTAACTTAAAGGTGCATAGGTTTATTTGATGTAAGTATCTCCGTTTCATGCTGGTAGAATCAGAGATCGATCGGTTTATTCTTCCGGAACCTATATAAATTTATATATACAGTGTTCTAAAAATAAATATACATGTAACAGTTTCCTGTAACAAGATATAATAAATAGCCTTTCAAATCACTTGATAGTTATCCATGGTTGAAAAAAAAAAAAAAAAAAAATCATACATGTCAAGCTGGGCATGAGCACTTCACAATTTTACTATGTGGTTATTACTAGACAATCAGTGATTTATTATTTCCCATATCTCCGTTTATCAGGAAACAAACTATGTTCTCTGTCAAAAGTGCTTCAAAGGGGTTAACTATGACCAGGACAAAGTAGCGGATGATTTCAAGTTAAAGGATTGTGTGAATCAGGCTACTGTTTGGACCGAGGCAGAAACTTCACTTCTCTTAGAATCGGTTTTGAAGCATGGAGATGATTGGGATCTTGTTGCTAAGAATGTCCAGACAAAAACCAAACTGGAATGTATATCAAAACTTATACAGCTACCTTTTGGAGATCTTATGTTGGGGGCTGTACATAGAAAGGGTAGATATTTGGATCTACTTGCTGATAATAGTGATTCCAAACCAGCAAACATATGTTCTGACAAACCACAAAGAGACGTGAAGGAGGAGCCAAACTCCGAGCTTCATGATAAAAACCAGCCAGATGGAGATGCTGAGAATGAAGAAGGTCCACCTTCTAAAAAAGTTCGCTCAGAGTTTACTTCAGATGTTGGAATTTCTTTGATGAAAGAGGTACTTCTTTTACTTATTCCTTGTGGTTGACTATGGTTTCACTTAATTTCTTCTGAGTATTTTCTTACAACTTGATAATTCTAAACCAACTGCACAGACAGAACTTGAATGTGAATACTACAGGATATTCATGGTTGCCAATCATCTACTTAAAATATTAATGGATATTATATAATTTCTTTATCTTTATCATTTCTGATGAAAATATTGTGTTTTTATCTTGAAATTTTGTTTGCAGATTAGAAATGACAGCCTTTTTCCTTTAGTCTGTGGCAAAACCCTAAGAAAAAGATTAGTGGTATTTCGATGCAGCGGTGTGTGTCTGTTAGGATTTTCTGTTATTGTTGTTGTTTTCCCTTTTCCGTTATTTTTGTTCATGATTTAAAACTGCCACTGCATGCTGCCCAATATTATGATGACTGAGTGCCAGAAAGAAATCAATGAAATTCTGAAGTGGCACAACAATGCATTCTCTTTGAAATTATTTCCTCTTTAAAGTGTCTCGTCCTGCATATATCTTTATCTGATGTCACAAACGCAAATGGGAATACTTAAGCCATCAAATCATTTCAATTATGGTCTTATCTAATTTCAACGTGCAGCTATCATATCAGTTACTTGGTGTTAATTCCATACAATGTTGAATTATGAAACCTACTTTTCCAGGTAGCCCGTATCTCTCGATTGTTGGGCCCACATGTCACCGCCTCTGCAAACGAAGCTGCTGTTGCTTCACTTTGCTTCGAGAATCAGTGTTCGAGAGAAATATTTGATGATGATGACAATAATATGAACATGAAATCTTCTCCTGAGATTAGCAATCAACAGAGGTATTCATCTACTCAAACTACATACCCTGCTCGTTGTTGATTGTACATTATGCTAAATTTTGATATATTTCGACATTCTTATCAGTTTAGCAGATGGTGATGATGTAGCTGAAGACGAAAGACCAATTCAATCAGGTATCCCCATTCATTAATGATCCAATGGGTGGTGCCTAAAATTCTTGAAGCAGAACAAAAGAAGAAAAAGAAGACGCCATTATCACACGAAATTGTAATTCGGAGTATGAAGGAAAGAAGAGATATGACTAATTATATTAAGTTAATAATTTTCGTAATATTAACAATTAATTGAGTTTGTGCAGTTTTTGGCACTAATAAATAGTTTATTTAAAGAAGATGAATAGTATTCCTACAATCACTGTTGTGTTCATCTTGCCATAATCAGTTGCCTTTGGA